TCAGAGATGGAATTCAGCTTGCCAAGATAGCGTGCAGCTGCCTTAGCTGCAGGGTTTTTATATCATCTTTCCTTTGTTGCAGTCCTCTCTTGCTTTACACTGTAGAGCAGGATGTAGACCATCAACAGGCAGGTCTCCTTTACTATTGGAGATGAGCAAAGGGGAAGGAACATCACATGCCTGTATCATAATTGTAACGATTGTATCAGGGACAAAGGAATCACATCTGCACTGGAGTAGAAGACCACAAAATCAATATGGCATGCTTTAATTCATGTTTTAAGTTAAGAACTCATAGATGAAAAATTATCGTTGTGAATATAACCTACTTTGGTTCTTTTTCCAGTAGGTCCTGCAGAATGGAAGCTGCAATATCTAAAAGTACTAGGAAAAGAAATGAAAGCTTTGATAGTTTGCTGAATAGTCAAACATTACAGCAGGCAGAAAAGATGACCAAATAAAGGTTTCTGGCTACATCGTAAGATGTTTGTAGAGAAACTGCTGTTTAATATAGCCAAGTGTGGATATATGTATTAATGAGCAGGAATCTAGGCCACACATAGGGAATAAAGTTCCTTAAGAAGCATGATATCAAGAATAAAACATTAAAATTGAAGAATAATTTTATTTATTTGTTTATTTTTAATACCAGTGAGTGTAAAACAGTATCTAGGTACAGGGAGTCTCTTGTCAGTAGTTATGATATTGCTGCATTTATTTTTACCATGGTTAAATACTGTAGGCAGTCTGTGGAGCAATAGCTTTAAAATAATGTGTTACAGGTACACAGTACCCAAGACTTTGATAGTGGAAATGTGTATCCAGAAGACAAAAATCTAATAGCTGGAAATTGAAGGTAGACAAATTAAGAGTAAAATAAATAATCCTAGAGAAATGCCTTCCCTTTTAACAGGATACTTAATGTGAATTATGAAAGTTGATAAGAAATTCATCATCATCATAATAAATAAAAGTTTCAGATTTTGAGAGCATAAAAATTGTCATCTATAATTCTGGTAGATAGCAGCTGTCAGCTTCTGCTTATAAATAGTATCGAGTGCTCTCATGTTTGTGAGGACAGGAGAAATCTGTAGCCAAAAAAATGAAAATTGTAAGGGAGAAGCTGTAGAATTGGCTCTGAAGTCACGATTTAAAACTTAAATAGTATACTTCCTGAAATTCATTTACTGAGCTGTATTAAAGGAGCTTCACAGATTTTGTTAATTTTTTTCAGTTTTTATTTATGAGTAACAGACCTTTTTCAAGTTCTAAGCATTCTAAAGACTGATATCCCTTAATATTAGATTATTTAAGTAATTTATTTAGCTTATTCCCATTCAGTATTAATTGTATCTTGTTGATTTGATAGCTGCATTATATCCTTCTAGTTTTGTGTAATCTTGTTAACAACATCATGACATTGGTGCCTTATTTTTTTTTCTTTAATGTGATTGATTCATTACTAAATCTCATTTTGTTTCGTAAATGATTTTGGAGCTATTGAAAGTGTATGAATAGCCATGTACCATCTTGTCAGTATTAATGTAGCTGCCCTTATTGGGCTTTTGTTAGATGCTTTTTGTGTAACTGGCTCACTTGGTTAGCAGAAGATACTTCACTTTGATTTGTTTTTCCTTCTGTTTTTTACAATAATCTGTTCTTGAATAACTGTATAGCTGAAGCTGGGCCTAAAAGTGCCTTAATATTTCCTCTTTTGTGCAGCAGCAGAAGTACTTGCTTTGTGCATCTGTTGTATAGTGAATCAGTTGTGCCTCCGCTGAATCATGATTCATTTTTAACATGTGAACATTTTAGTGAAATTACCACTCTACAGATGATACTTAGATCAGGATTTCCTTTTTGTCAAACAGTCTGATAGAGATGGAAGGCGGATAACAGTGATCTGTTTAGATTTAATCCTGATAAGACATGCAGTGTTTTCATGCTGGTGAAATCTTGTAGTGAAATTTGTACTGTATGTCTGTGTAGTTTTTATTAGTGGAGAGCATGCCAGGTTCCTAGCTTGCCAATTACAGTTTCTAGTCATCTTAGGTTATTTTGCTGGTCCTGGGATCTTATGTATTGTCATACACATTTTTTATTTTTTTTTTCCATTTTGTGTACATCATTAATCAAGAAAATGGCCATTCATACACATTTTTTCTACTATTATTTACAATTCTGTTTCCTTAAATATGGCAGAATATACTGCTGTAGTATGAATGTATTATGTATGAATGTATTATGCCATAGTTCTCCATGTGATGAGCATGTTAGTGTATTTTGGATACCTGGTTATTTCAAATTTTCGTCAAGTTACTGCCTTCTCACTGGTACCTCATTCTCCCATGCATGAAGGAGCTTGGGGTACACTGTGATTATTTCTCAGCGTATTTTGGAAGTGTTCATCTGTTTTGGACAGATGGGAGAAGTATGGAAGGAAGAAGAGGAGAACTGTCCATTTCTGAAAGATTTTATTCCTGAATGGCTGAGCTGTAAGCTCAAGAGAATATTGGGTTTTGGTCTTCGCTTGCTTTCAGTTGTGCTTCCTAGTCTGATTGAAAGTATCATTTAACTGAGGTGAGAAAGCAAGTGTGTGTAGGTGATTTGAAGCTGAGTTAACATGCAGGCTAAAGGTCTCTGCAATGTCATGACTTAAAGCTTCAGGTGTAATATATTGTTGGATGGTGGTTTGGTCTGGTGGGACAGGCAGTAATTAGTGTCCTCGTTCTGTGATCTGAAATGGGTGTGCATTTGTTTGAATTGTATTTCAAAATATTAGCTATAGTGCTGTAAAAGCTGAAATGGTGCTTTATACTGATAACCAGACAGTTTACTTGTGTTTGTCACTGAGTTAAGAGAAACTAGCTTGCTCCTGCTGTTGATTCCAGTCCTTCAACTTCTAATGGCCAGAGGCACTGCAGTATTTTCGTGAGACTGTCAGTTTTCAAAATGATTAGATATTCATAAATAGTCTGTGACATGTCAGATCAATTGGCCAAAAGGTGAAGCTGTTCAACCCATCTTGCATATTGGTGATGCCACCAGCTGTGACAGACATTAAAAAAAAAAGAAAGAGAAGATGGAGCAGATGGTCAAAGTTTCATCAATATTTTTCTGCACTTGAGATTCTTTTATAATAAAGAAGAACCTTGATTAAAACAAATCTGACTTGTCTGGGCTTTTCAGCCTGCTTGCTGTGTTGTTGCATTGAAGACTACTGAGTTACAGTTTTCAAATGTGTTCCATCACAAGGATCTGTAGTTTTGCGTAATAGGTTGGTGCTTTGGAACCTTGTGAATTGTTCATATGCTTTTGTGCAGGTTTGCATTTTATTATTGGATGCTTACTGGGATGTGTTAGAATATTAATGTCTAATTTAAATGCATGTTTTAATATTAATATCTGTGTTACAAAACTGAGACTCTGCAGTTCAGATCAGCCGTTATGTTGCACATTTGTAGAATCACTGTTGCGTATTGTTGCTTGCCTTTTTTTAGGTGAATGATAGAAGTTATCATCACACTTTTCAAAAGTTAATCATAAAAAGGACTACCTATTTTAAAAGTTATTTATTGTATGTCTGCAGAACAGCTATTGGTTTGTGGATTTTTTAGGCTTTTCACCAATATGCTGTATTAATCAGCTGAACCATTTTTAGCTATATAGAAGATAACACGTGGCTGCAAATCTGAGGGGGAATGGCAATAAGTATTACATTTGTGTCTTGTGAACAGCTGTACATTTGTTTTCTTTCCAAACATCAACAAAGGAAACTTATACTTCATATGCCACGGTTTTGGTTCTGTGGAATTGAAGAAGTGGTTGGTTTTGGATTCTGCTAATATAAGGAAATACTACATCATCAGGGTCAGTGCTGCAATTGTTTTTAAACAGGTACTCAATCCATTTATGCCCGTTTAAAATCAAACATAGTAGGGGCTAGATTCTAAGACATATTAGCAATTGACATTTCTTAGTAAGGTTAAGGTAAAACTCTTTCCTGCAGCATGGGAGAAAGGGGAAGGGGAAAGAAATGGGGCAGCTACGTGTTAGGTACCATGTCATGTAAAGGGAACATGGATGTTACACAAGGTGATAGAGAGGGGAAGATCCATGTTAACCTTTTAAGTGCTTCTCCCTTCCTCTTTGCACAGCAGATTTGTGCCTGAGGTTAAAACTAGGACAGTTACCCTGACAAATGCAGATGGATTGTTTTGAAATTGTGTTGTAGATTTATTCCCAGGCTGTTTTACCAGAGCTATGTAATGTGGTTGAGAATGGAAAAAATCTCCCTCTTTGTGATGACTGTGGAACCTGCACTAACTACAGTTCCATCATGGCAGTTACCATAATGATGGTTTCATTAGCAGTGTGTACGTTTGAGAATCTTGAACTACTAGTAAATTTAAATCCGTCATGGCTGGGCAAAGCTGCAGGCACTTACTTTAGTGGAGGTCTGAACTTAGATATAGATTTTCTATGCTGGGGCTGGCTACAGATAATTACTTCTTTGGTGGTGAAAATAATGAGCAACATTACAGGAAACCTACAGGGAGTTCATGCTATAACAACTTTGATAATATATAAGATAGATCTGAACATTGCTGAAAACTAAACAGATCTTGCTTCCTTACGTATGCATGCAACGCTACCTGCACTATACTAGCTACTGGAGTCTAATGGATATGATATGACAACTGAAAAAAATGAGACAACAAAAGGTTTTAAAGGAAAAAACCTTGGGTTTAGTGTTCTGAAGAAAAGGATCAAATACCTCTGCCTTAATTGAAGGTTCAAGAGCCTGTAATTTACATCCTTAGAGATATGCCCTTGATTATTTTTGATTTTGGAGGATCTGAGGTGTCATTCTTGTGTTTATAGATGGGGAAAACATAAATAAATTTTAAAATTCCTTTACAGGTCACTTTTAAATATCTACCAGGTAGAATTGCTGTTTGAGAAGATGCTCATAGTTTGTGTTTGATGTGCATTTACAGTGTCCATATATGGGATTTGGTTTTATGATAAGGAAGAATGCCAAAGAATTGCAGAGCTCATGAAAAAGTAAGTGATGGGTCAACAAGACATTTTGTGCTTTTTGTATGTATGTATTTCTGTACATACGTGCACATTATATTGCTGGGATGATCATACCTTTCTACTTTAAAGCTGTATTTATAGAATTTGTTGCAAATAAGGTTATCACACCTGCATTTTGTATAAACAGAAATGTCACTATATTGCAATACTTTTTCATAATTGGCTGTGCAGCTTTCCAGCTACATCAGACAGTAACAGTTCATCTGATTTATTTCCTGATGACTCAGAGATCTGTTTTGAAGAATTGTATTCTTTGGGGGTTTAATATATTCTTTGTGTTTGGGGAGTTTTTCAATGTTGCTGTTACCTTTTTTTGATTATATCAATGTAAATGTGGGCTATCATGAAGGCATACTGTAATAATACAATTCTGTGGGGTTTATCCTGTTTCTACATCATGGTTAAATTCCTGCTTCTTCATTTCTTACCAATATGTACAAAATTCACTTTGTCTTTCGAATATAAAGCAAGACTTTAATTAGCTTCGAATTCATTACTTTTATGTACATAACATTATTTTCTACATGTTATATAATCTTTAATTTTGCAGTCAAGTTGGAGATTAAAATTTCAAACAGAACTGTATTTTAATCTCATGATGTCATGGATTTTTTTTTTTTCTCACTGCTTTCTTTATGTGTCCAGGATAGACAGGACTCATTCTTCTGCTCTACCCTCTGGTTGGCCTAATGATGGGCTCATTTGCAATCATCCTTTTTTAATTACTATATTCTGCAGGTTTTTGTGTTTATTTGGAGGAGGAAGGAGCTGAAGTCTTCTTGCAGATTTTATCAATATACGCAGTGTAAATTTTTTAGAGCTATAGTATAGAGGATATGGTAAAGGGGCCCAATAGGAACAGGCAGAGATTGGATATACCGGTTGCCTGCACTATGTAGGGTTGAACATATCATCATGTTACAGTTCTTTTAAGTGACAGGAGGAGCGACGATGTAGAACCAGGTCTTTGTCATCCCAAGAAAAGCCATGGGAGGTGGATACAGTCAAGCTGACAGCATTGGGTACTAACAGAGTGCGATGTAAAGTCACTGTCAGACCTGTGAATCTGTCCTTTTCAAGTCATCTGTCCCAGTCTAACAGCTTTCTAGCCAAAAGCATGCTGAGGAAGTGACATCACCTTTGATTGCTAAAGTTACTAAGTGCCCAAAAGCCCATTTTATGTACCCTGCAGTACAAGTCCAAACAAGGGTCATCCTCACACATCTGTATACATAGCAAAGTGCTTTAACTCTTCTACCACTATGTTTCAGATAGGATTTGTTATAAAATACTGGATGGGAAGGTAGTCATATTTCCTCCATACCTCTTTTTAAAGTAATACCTGCTGCTTTTCATTTTGCAGTGACAAAACATTGTGAAACACAGGCTGTGACAATGATGGGGGTTTGTTTAGGGGGTTTTGTTGTTTTTGCTGTGTATCCTACAGCAATAAAATGAGTCAGTTTTGACCCAAGAAATAATTGATGGGGATGAATTTACAAAAATAAGCAATGAACCTTAGGAAACCCAGCTTTTTGACAGCTCATTGTAGTTAACTAGCTCAAGTTTCAGTTGGTGGTGATTAGGTACTCTCAAACTGGTAATTTACTACAATAAAAACTAGTTTTCAGAGGATTCCTGCAATTGTAAACCACGTGTAGTGGTTTATAATAGCAGTGTTTCATATGGATAAAAAATACCCTGTCGCTCAGCCAGTTGGCTGTGTGTTTTAATTCTCAGCATTCTACAATAATAATAAAACAGCTGGGGCAGGAAATTGGTCATTTGCTAGTAGTTAATGACTGATTTGTGTGTGTTTGCCATCCTCCACCACCAGCAGAACTGAATAACACTATAAATTGCCTGCTCTTTCTGGGTATAGAAATTAAGACTGAGTTACGAAAATTTTAGTTTGTGGCCTACTGTATTCAAGATTGGAGAAAAAGAATCTCATGCCTGGTCGAATTATGTTTTAATACAGATCTTTTAATAGATATTTTTTTACACATTTTAATGTATATGGGGTAAAAATAGTTTTGATTAATAAAGTAGTTGTGGTTAAACTCTTTTTATTTTATCTGTTTTTTGTCTTGTATATTCTCCTCTTACCTCCAACTTTCAGCTTAACTCAACAGGAACAATTGAAAGCAAAGCAGGGCATGGGAACAGGAGTATCCCCGATGATTATGAATTCTGCTAATAACAAAGAAGTGGATATCTTACGGATGCTTACCAAGGCCAAAGATGAGTATACCAAGGTAAGACTTGCTGTCTATAAAAGAGGATATTTCTTTTTGGTGGTACTGTGATGCCAACTTACATTACATTTTAAAACATAAAAAGTTTGTGTATGTTTTCATATAGATAGTTTTGCTCAAAGTGAAACTGATTTTAACAGTGTGCCGTCTCATTTTGTGTAGAAGTGACTGGTAGAAAAGTTTTGTCAGAATTTGCTAAAGATTCAAGAGAAATGAATGCTGTCAATAAAAACCTCTGAAAGGAGAACATGTATATGGTTGATTATTTGTTGAATGCTAGAGGGTAAGATGAAGTATTTAATCTTTCATTTTGACCTTTGGAGTTCCTATGCTTATTGCTTATTGAGTAGTACCTAGAAGTTTTGTCCTTTTTCTGGGTGAAGTACTCAAACCTGCCAGCAGTTTCTGTAGTTTGTACAAATAGCTTCCTTCAGAGAAGACCTTTAACGGTGAAGTTACTGCTTTTAATTGTGGTTGTTAGCTACTTTCGAATACTCATAGAAGGCAATTAAAAGGTTGAAATGTAGTATAATTTCAGCCCATGTGCTGGTTTGGTCTTCTGAGGCTTCTAAATAAAGAAGTAACTAATGGACTAATAATGTTCTCTATTATTGAGCAATCAAAAACGTTTTACTTTGGGGAATAAAAATTAGGGATTTTAACTATTCATATATATGCTGCAAATTGTTACAGAGCCTGCAGGTTCCTACTGCTGTTTCCTGTATTTCATATGTTTTGTCATGTAATAATGAAGTTCATAGGTGTTATTGAATCTAGAAGTATATCTTAAACATAGCAATTTCAAGAAAGGAAAAGTTATTTTTCTGAAATGCAGCAACTAATAAGATCCTCAGAAAGATAATAGTAAACTACTTGAGTTAGGGTAAAATATATCCCTTTTTACTGTAGAATAGCTTCTTTTGAAGCTTAAGATCTTTGTGTTTTCTGTAATAGGGATTTAATATAGTGTAGTGGATATTTTTTTAAGAGCATAACTAACTTTGAGGGGTATATCTTATTCCTAAATTAAGTTACATATTTAAAGGTTACATGTAAAATAAAATACATAGCCTCCCCCCTCCTTTTTTTATTAATGGAGCTTTAAGTTCCTAAACCACTAAAATATTTTTTGAAAAATGTCCTTCTTACACACTTGCCTTCTCTTCATCTCTGGTAAGAAGAAGTGGTATTAGCTGGCCTAATAATGCTTGATAGCTGGGGAGATAAAGAGCGAAGAGCTGCTAGGGTACAGAACGAAGCATGACAAAATGTGTTTCGCTTTAACCATTGTGTCTTTTCTTGTCCTACAGGACAAGGTCTGGTTTTAGCTCTGTGCTGTACACTTCTTCTACGGCATCTACCCATTTACTATACCAACTTTGATCTACTAAGGATCAGATTAGGTAGGCATCCTTTGTCTGGCTGATGTGGCAAAAATAACTGAAGCTTTCTTCTTCATTACTAAGGGCACACAATGCTTTGATAAGAACATCATTTCTGGTAGAGAGCAAGTATGGCCTCTGGACTTCTATTTCTGTTTCTGTTTCTTTCACTTTTTTGTATTTTAGAAAAATATTCCCATAGTACTGCCCTGCCCAAAGAGAAATACAGTTTCTAAGTTTTTGGGTGCCTTAGCTTTTGGTTTGTTAACTGTGTGAAAGGCTTGATTGTAGGATCCAGAAGGCCTAGCTTTCCTGAGGGCACTTTGCCATACTCAGCCTTGGTGATGCAGAGACTATGCTGCTATTCTTAAACAGTCTGAATTGGTTCTGTGTGTCTCACTTAATCAGGGCTCTGACTGGAAATCTTTACTACTGCTCTTTGACACAGTCCTTGTCCGCCTTAGTTCCTCTCTTCTGCTAAGCACTTTGTACACCTTCATATCATATTCATTAATGTCATCTTGTGGCTGCTTTAGGAAGAAATCCCCAGTTTCCAGGGCTTTTTAGATCTGTACTCAAGCTCTGACAACTTCAAAGTCCTCTTCATCCCTTTCAGCATAGACATCTAAATACAAAAGCTCTTCTAAGTTGTATAAGGTCTTGGCTGACCTTCTTTCCTTGTATCAGACCTCCTAGCATCTCTGCCATGTACTTGACAGGTCTTTGCAGTTCACATGTCTCAATGTCAGGTTTTTGCTACAGACCATGAGATTGGGATGTGACACGGTATTTGCTTCAGGAGAACTCTAATACTGAGGTATCGTGCTTGTCCATTGTCTGTTTACTTAGAAAATGTCCTGGTCAGCTTGAGCTTCATATTCTACATGTAGACTATGAAATCTCACAACATAGAGCAGTTGTTTGCCTCCAGTATCTCTGACCATACCAAACTTGCCTAAAACATCTTCAGTGATGGTCTTGTTCTTTTCGGTTGACATTTACCACGTATGTCTATTTTTATTTTTTTTTCCCCCAATGTTTCTTAGCCTTTCTTTGACTTGATCTTAGAACCTTTTGATTTCTTATGGATCTTTTGTAGGAACATAGCTTTGAACAAGACACATGACTAAAGGACAGACCAGTGAACCAAGTTGGAGTAATCATCAAGTGTAGTAGCTGATGAGTACTCTTCTGGTTCTATCACTAAAGAGCATGGTGACATTTCTCTCATGCTGTATTTTGCTCTTGATGATGGCATATGATATCTTCTTTACCTGTCCACTTGACAGTTGCTTAAAATGTCATGTTGTTGCTCTGAACTTACTCATCAGCAAGGCCATGCTCTCCATCTGCCAAAATGACTTTATATTCTGAGCTTCTGAAATCATCACAGGATTTTATTATTTTTTTTCTCTTCAGAATTCTTCTCTATATTTGACCACAGCTTACTAGCCAACTTATCAAATCATGGGAATGGTACCAAATCAGTTCAGTGTCATTCTCTATAGGCCTTTGTGTATACTGCCGTTCATTTTGCTGAGGGATTTGGTCTGAAAAATGCTCAAATAGTGAGAAGCTCCACTGTTTCTCACCTCATTTTTATATGCTTAGTTCTGTGCTCATACAGAGTATGACAGTAAAAGCTAAGGTGCTCACAGTTTCTGAAGAATTCAGCCTACTAAAATACCCTGGGGAAATAAGGGTATTATTTAAATTCTGGAGAACCCATTGTGAGATATACAAGAGTTATGTTATTCATCGCGATAAAGAAAAAAGTTTAAATGTGTGCTTATATGATTTTAGCCCCAAAAGTTATGCTGAAAAATAGCAGTAAGAAGGAGGTATATTGAAGAAACATCAGCATCATTAGAAAGAGAACAGTTTGGGAGAAGAAAAGCTATTTTATTTTATTTTACTGAAGTGTGGTTTTGGTCTATGTAGGATCTGTCCAGCCTAAAACAGAAAATTATCTTCACTTGTTTTAGTATAGATCAAATAGGGCCACAGGAAGCACTTATTTGGACTACGAAGAAAACTTCTATCTGATAATATACTAGGTAAGAGGCTTAACTGTCATTAAGTGATGAGACACAACATACGTCACGAGTCAGAAACTGGGTGGGCAAGTGATTTAAGAATAATTCAGTCATTTGTCCTTGTGTATTTAATTTTTTTAAAAATTGGTGAGGTTGCAGAAGGCTCCGTACTAGGACATTTTTGAGAGTCCGTACAAACTGCTTGGGAATGATGAGAAAATAAAGCTTGTAGGAAAGACCAACACCAACAAAAAAGTTACTCAAATTCAAGGATAGCAACATGTAAGCTAAGAAGAACCTAAGAAAACAATTTGTTTGAGCAGTACATTGATAAATTTAACTCAGAGCTAATAAATGGAAAGGAAACTTCTCCTTAGTGTAAAAGCTTTCAATAGTTACATTAGTGTTGTAGGCTTGTTTTCTGCACTGTTTCTTCATAGCTTCTTTCTGTTACAATTTTTCGTAACAATCCATTCATAACCATTTTAAATATTAACTGCTTAGCAAAACTGAAACTTCAGTTAAGTGTAGGTTTCTTTTGAGTGCTTCCAATAATCAGGCTTCGAATCATAGATAAGGGAAGTAACCATGGACTAGCTTTAAAAGAAAACAGTTTTGCTTATCGTGTGTAGTCTTTGGACTTAACTCTTTATTTAAATTTTGGGACATCTTTGGTCATCAGGCTGGCTCTGCACTATGAGATGGGTAGCAAGGCTCTGGGTGAATGAGATACCACATTCTAGTAAATTTATTTCTTTGATTTTTCTTTTTTCCCAGAGAGGACAAAAAGTGTATCTGAATTTAAATATATTCACATATTGAATGTGGCCTACTCAGATTAGCCGTGAGACACTTCCTATATGACTTTATATGTAACTGAAAATCAGTTTTGCTGCGAAACTCTGCATTACTGGCAAAGTCAATATATTGTTCTTCATGTTTTTTCCAATCTAGTGCTTGAGGAAGTTTCTCACTTTATGCTGCAGGGGCATAGCAGGAAAGAAGAGACTCGTGCTTGTTCTTTCTTGAAACTGAATAGCTAACCACCCTGTGGCATGATTGTGCATGCATGCTTTAAAGTTATTTCTAAGAGCAACGTTTGAACCAAAAATTGTCATACAATGGGAGAAAGCCAGGTACATGAGAGGAATAACACACTTTGCAAGAGCGTGTTTTCAGAAATTCACTGCAGAAGGTCTTGACTGTCTGAATATCCACAAGATGATTTTTCAGCAGAGACTCATAAAATCATTGACACTGGAAGGGATCTCAGGAGATAGATAGTCTAGTCTAGCCTCCTCATTCATGGTAGTATCAGCTAAAGTGGGTTGCTCAGGGCCATGTTAAGTCAGGTTTTAAATATCTCCATGGACAGAGACTCTACAACCTCTCTGGGCTCCCCATTCCAGTATTTAAACATCCTTGAAGTAAGCAAGTTTTTTCTTAAATTTAAGACTTTGTATATTCTATTTTTTTCCTTTTGCCTCTTGTCTTCGCTGGGGACCACTGAGAAGAGACTGTCTCGGTCATCTTTACTTCTTCCCATGAGGTATTTTTCCACATTGATGTTATACCCTGAGCCTTCTTATTTGGAGACTAAGCCCCTCCTTGCTTGACAGGTGCTTAAATCAACTTCATAGGCTTTCAGTGAACACAGTCATGTGTGTGTGCATCTGGGAATCCCAGAACTTGATGTAGCACTGCACTGCTTAGTAGAGGGGTCTAAACAGTGGTCTCACCAGTGCTCAGCAGAGGTTAAGGACCACCTCCCTTGATCAGCTGGCAGTGCTCTGTCTAATGCAACCTAGGATGCTGTTGGCCTTCTTTTGCCACAGGGGCATGTTGCCAGTTCATATTCAACTTCATTTCCACCCAGGTCTATTTCTGCAAAGCTGCTCTTCAGTCAGTTAGCACCAACCTGTACTGCACGGGGTTGTTTTTCCTCAGTTTCCCTTTGTTGAATTTCATGTTCCTGTCAACCCATTTCTTCAGCCTGTCAAGGTCACTCTGAATGGCAGCACAGCCATTTGGTCTATTAACTACACATCCCTGTTTTATATTGTCTGCAAGCCTGCTCTGCCGCATTATCCAGGTCATTAATGAAGACGTTAGACAGCATTGACCCCAGTGTCAAACCCTGTGGTACACCACTAGCAAGTGACTGGCCTCCAGTTGGACTTCATGCCAACAATGTTTTGAGTCCAGCAGATCAGACAGTTTTATGTCCACCTCGCTGTCCACTTACATAGTTTGCATACCAACAATTTGTCTTTGAGGATGTTACAGGAGACAGTGTCAAAAGCTTTGCAAAGGTGAAGATAAACAAAATCTGCTGTTCTCCCATCATCCACTGAGCCAGTCATCTAATTGTAAAAGGCTACTGTGTTGATCAAGCATTATCTTCCCTTTGTAAATCCATACTGGCTAATCCAAATCACTTTCTTGTCCTTAGTATGTTTAGAAATGGCTTCCAGTAGGAAGCCATTTGTTTCATTGCCTTTCCAGGGACTGAGGTGAGGCAGACAGTCCTGAAGGTCCCCAAATGCTCTTTCTTGCTCTTCTTGAAGATAGTACTGATGTTTGTTTTCTTCCAGTCCTTGGGAACCTCCCCAATTGTAAATACCTTTCAAAAACAGAGTGGTTTCACTATGACAGAGGCAGCTCTCTCAGCTCTTATGAGTGCATCCCACATGCTACCTAGCCTGATCCTCCTCTATGAAGGGTAAGCCTTCAGCACTCCAGACTTTCCCACCAGCCTCTGATGCCTGGTATTCCTGAGGGCAGATGTTGCAAAGAAGGCACTGAGTACCTCCTAGAGCCCCTCAAGTCCCCTTGGGAAGTCAAGTTCTGTTTTGCTAAGCAGCCCGGGAACCAGAGTGTCTCTGTTTACTATTGCAGTAGGTCAGAAATGGATTTAAATGATCAGTTTTGTGTATTGGGGGGGTTGTGGGGTGTGGGGTGTGTGTTTTCTCACCTAGCATTTGCATCCTAAGGAGTTTGTCTCTGAAAGTTCTGGAAAGGACATTGACATTTTCATAATTGCACAGCAATGGCTTTGAAGTATGTCCATATGGCAGTCTGTCCAGTCCACAGTTCTGTCCCAAGTAATGCATAAAGCTGGGCTCTTTGGAGGAAACCATGAGAAACCAAACCTAATCATTCCTTACCCAACCATTAGACCTGCAGCATAAAATTTAGAGCCCATCAAATTCAGGTATTTCACTGTGAATATTTTTATTAGATAGGATTAACTTCTTGTTAGGTAATTCTTTAAAACATCTTTCCAGATTCTTGGATTCAATTGTATCAAGTGACAATGACTTCCAATATATAATTTTCTACTGACAATAGCATTCCTTGTATAACTAATGCTTTTTTAGTTCCATTGATTATGTTCTTATTTTTTGTACAATGAAAATAAGACCATCTTATTCTCCTTTTCCTATTACATTTATTATTTCTCTTTCAGGCAACATTTTCTGTGCACTTCTTCTGAATTAAATCATGCCTTTCCATGTCCCTGATCACTTTTAGTCATCTGTCTCTGCTCATGTTTTTATAAATATTTTTATTAATCCTGTCATATTTAATAAGAAAACATACTGATTCTAAAAATTGGTTAAACCTTTAATTATTTTTCTTTGTGGGTATATGAATCCTCCAGGTTCCCACAATGTAGAACATTTATGTAAAAGAGTTTGAGTTATAATTCAATTTTTAACAAAACGCATTGAAAATGTTCTTTATGGCCATATTAATCCTTCATGTATTTGAGCTACTACTAGATGTCTGCTAATGCAGGAAAAGCATGTCTGTTGCTTGGTTTCTAAGGTGCTTTCTAAAAATTATTTTATGTTTTCTTAAGTGTGGGAAAAGCAGAAGATAAGAAAGAGAACTGAAATTTAAATGAGAAGGAAACCTCATACTCAGGAAATCTTGGAATCAAGTGTTTATTTTTACATGTGCTTTGTGGGTTTAGAAAATTAGGTTGCAGTTGTTGTAGTTCTTTCAGTAGAATAATATTCCATAATCAGTGCTGCAACTAGTATTTTTGATTACTGAATACATGGTTATGTCTGTATTTTACAATACTGGAGAACTCGGGGAAAAGATGCTGTCACACTTACTAAAAACCACTTCTTTTCTCTTGCAGTGTAAGACCTGCTCAGAGCCGAAACAAATAACCAGTTCCTCTGCAATCTATAACAACCCCAACCTGATCAAACCAATTCCAGTGAAGCCTAGTGAAAATCAGCAGCAACGAGCATCTCAGCAAAGCAAGGTAAAATGTTTTGTGTGTTTTCTGACCAGTGCTGCTGTAATCGAGTAACCATGTAGGGATATTTATTGGAGTTGGAAGGTCAGTGCAAGAATTTGAGGTGGAACCACTGTAAGGAATTACTTTAATGCAAAACTTATCTGTTTTATAAAAATCTCCCCAACCCCCACCCACTACATGATGCGGAAGCATGTAAGTCACAGGCGTACTATCCTGATGCAACAAAGAAATACTAGTCTTTCAAATTTCAGATGTTACTTTGATTGCAAGCTGGCCTAGTCAATTGCTGGGCCACAGTTTTTATGGTTTTCTTTTTAATTTTTTAGGTTAATTCAGTTAATCTAAATAAAGAAAAGTCTCTTGGTCTATCTTCAACCTCAGTCGCACTGGAACATCCTAAAAGCTGAATTCAGCTGTGACAGGGAGATGCACAAGAAGTGGTCCTACTTCATGCATGGGGAGACTTCTGTTTCTTCCTAATATTGTACTGATGGCTGAAAGGGAAGATGCTCTTTCATGGTGTTTGAAGTGAAGCCACTTCTACCTCTCAGATTCACTGATATTCTCCCACATTAGCAGCTTGGCAACTGTTGTCTTGCCCTTCCTATGTGACAAAACTACTAAAAATCCCCTTGGGAGAAAAGAGCATATCGGTTTTCTCAGCTTTTGCTTGAATACTGCTGGCTAAATGTTGTCACCAGTTAATGTAACTTATACATGAGAGAACTATGTTTACTTTTTTCCCTTGTCCCCTCACAGAATGTGGATCCCGAACCACAGCACTTGTCTTTGACAGCACTGTTTGGAAAACAAGAAAAGACAGATGTCTCAGAACCGCTTAATAAGCAGCATCAAGAGAATCTTCCTGTTAGGCAGGGTGTGGTACGTTCACTGTCCTATGAAGAACCTAGCAGGCATTCACCCTCTGCAGAGAAACAACTTTGCCCTGCCATTCAGAAGCTTATGGTGCGTGGGACAGACCTTCACCCGCTTGCTGAGTTTCCTGAGAACCGACTTTGTGAAAATGGCAATATCCACCCTGTGGGTGAGACTTTCACAGGACTCTTCCAACCTGTGACTTCTCATGGTATTGCAGCATCTCATGTAGTTCAGGATACTGCTGGCACTCAGAGCTTATTGCAGAAATTACAAAGTCAGTCAGGGACAGTGACTAAAATGGACGCCAATGCAGCAGGATCTGCGAGCTCGACAGCTTCTGTGTTCAGCAGGACTCCTGCTCCTGGTGGAGCACCAGCAGGAACAGTAAATAGTATGAGCCAGCCACCTTTGGTATATTTCAATGGTTCCCTACCAGGCCAGACTTTAGAATCTCAGACACTTGGTAAAGAACAATCCAAACTTCCCAGACAGCCTCTTTCTCTCACTGGCAATCAAGCAGCCAATTCTGGGGTGATTTCACCTCAAGAGTTACTGAAAAAACTCCAAATAGTGCAACAAGAACAACAGTTGCATGTATCCAGCAGACCAACCTTGGCAGCTAAGTTTCCTGTCGTTACTCAGAATACAAATACGTTGAAATCACTGGATTCTTGGATTGAAAAGGCACCGGGTACAGAAAAACAGAGCGCTCTCTTTCAGGTAAATGGGAAACATCAACTCTTAAAGTAAATAACAATAATAAAAAAATATAGCAATCTTTAAACTTGGTGTTTTGCAAGGTTAGTCTTTGTTTCATTTTGACCAGTGTACTCTTGTTACTATTCTTACCATACGTTGCTGCACATCATTCATTTTGCAGGGGATGATTTAACAACAGCAAGTTCTGATTTACTAAGCTCTGATATTGTAAATACTGACGGCTCCACCTCTTGCACATCAGTAATGACCAAAAATACTGCAGTCTTGGGTTTTTTCAGAGGCACTATGAAAAGTCACCTGGTCTTCAGTGCTGTACTTACTTTGAGGCTTCCCGTCTGGTTACTGAATGTGATATTTTGGGTTTAATAATTTTTCTTACAAAATTAGTCATGGCTTTCTCTGTGCAGGTATGCATTCCTTTGTATGCCCATTGCTAAAGGTGCTTAAAAGGTCACTTACTTTCTAACCAGCAGTTTTCTGTATCGGTGAATTAGCAACCTTGCACCTTAACTGCTTCTGTGAGCTATTCATTAGCTATTTTTTTATTTGCTATGTAATATCATTTGGGTTTTTATTCTTTGGTTTTGTTTGTTTGTTTTTTTTTTTAAAAAAAAGACCTTGTTCCTCAATGCCTTCAAAACACCCCAAACCTTTAATTCTGGTGATTGTGACCCTAAAAGTCAGAGTGGGGTCTTAAAAAATTCAGGAGATGTCGAGAGAATGTGTGTCTTGTGAGTGCATTTTTCTGCTTTTTTCTTAAGAAAAGCATCATGTGCAATTACAAAATGTCCCATCCTAGATTAACTGCTGTCTTTGTTAACAACTTCATTTTCTGTCGGATCTTTCTCGCTTGAATGTCTTTCAGTGTGCTGTTCAAGGATGCATCTAAGACCCTTTTAACTTACCTTGTTGTGGACAGACTGTCCACAAGATTCATGTTGTGCTGGAGTCTGACTTGTATTGAAGTCTAGAAGTTACCCAAATGAAAAAGCATTCACCTTTTCAGTGTAAAATTCAAAAGCTGCTTTTCTATTGCAACTTCTTAAAAACCTGAATGAAAGACTACAGGATACTTCAGCGTGCTCCAAGAATCCTCCTGATTCTAGAAAGTTATCCTACATGTGAAGAAGCTGAAACAAGTCATTTAACAATTCAGGGCCACATCTGTCACTAACACTGTGACATGTCAAGATGTCTAATTCCTTGAGAGAGGTCAGAGGAAGATTAATTTGCTATAGCAAATAGCTCTCATTATTTTTATTCTTTTAATTAAAGCAGCATGACTTTGAACAATCTGTGTGAAAGAGTTTTGGGGGGATTAGTCACAGAAATTATTCAGGAGCAGTTGCTTACAGATGGTATTCTGACTTTCCAGTGGAGTGCTAATGAATTAAAAGAGTACCTAGAATCACAAAAATTTACTTCTGTTTTCACTTGGATATGGAGCTTGCCTGCTAGAAATGAAGGAAATTGTCTAATTCACTGGTACATGTATGGATAGCATGGAGACATGAGACATTCCTTCTCTGAAGGTAAAAGTGAAATGAGGCAAGTGCCAGGCTGTACATTACAAGTCACTATGCATAAATAAAAGATGGCAAATATGCTGATATATTTCCAAATGAAAAATCCATATACATGTTGATATTTCTAATGACTTTATTTGTGCATATTTGAAAAAGACCATGATGCCAGCATTAGTTGCAGTCCAGAAAGGGAATTATTGAGGTCTAACATAATGCAGTATCAGTGATTTTACTGTTTAAATACAACTAGAACAGTAACTTGTAAGAAGACTAAAATCTTCACTGGTACAAGTCTCATTCACTGTGATTATCGCTGCAAGTTTGTCTTAAAAAAAGTGCAGCTCAGGAGACTCTCAGTCTCACTTTGCAGGCTGTGAGCAGACCAAATAGATTGGGACTGCCTATGAGAGGCTTCACAGACCAACATAGTCACAGCTGTTACCAAAACAGTATTAGATGCAGTTCTTCTGACACGTTTAGCAGCAGATTTAATACAGAGACTGAAAATGATAATGAAAGTACGAGTAATTATTGTTTCAGACACCTGAAGCTCTGCAACCTGGAAGGAATGGCCTCTTTCACATGCATCAGATTGCCAAAAAACAAAAAAGGGGGAGAGGCTAAAAATGAAGGACTGAGTCTGTATTCCTGTAGAATGCCACGATTTAGCCACATGAAATATGCCTACTTCTGAAAAAAAATAAAAGTATTGGAAGATAAAAATTTGAAACAACTTTTATAACCAACATAATTCTTTTCATAATATAGTCCTTGTTGTAGACCAGAGCCTTTAAGTGCTGCCATGCCTGCAGACAGACTTTCGAGTGAGATTGAATTGGCACAAATATATCTGCACATGCTCATGCAAAATTGATCAAAGCAGATTGTGACAACAAATACAGCAAAAGGTTTGTTCTCTGTAATTATTTATCTTTTGCTATTGCCTCTTCTACTACAATTCAGCATACAGAAAAGCAAATTCTGAAAAGTCTGTCAGGAACAGAGAGCTATCTGGACAGTGTCTGTTGTTGGAAACATTATTAAAGGAACACCCTAAATCCATCTCAAACAGCACTAAGAAAATCAAAGCAAGTCTTTTCCACAACTGACACATTACAAGTCCAAGTTTAAATTGGCTTCTCTGCATCTCCATATGGTGTAAGAACTGTGATCTCCCACATGGAAAGGAAGAGACCAGTTACCAAAAAAAAAAAAAAAAAAGGAAAAAAAAAGAAAAGAGAGAAAGAAAGAAGAATAAAAGCAAAAGCTGAAGAATAACACTCGGAAGCATTCAGTCTGGTCTGATGCCAGCGTTATTCTGTGAAGTTTTCCTTATGCGGACAGTGAGTAAGATGCAATAAAAAGGCATTAATCTGCAGTGGTCTTTTAAGCATATGCTTAGTGTTAGGCATGAGTTATCCTGATTATAGATACATGCATGCTTAAGTGTTTATGTTAATCAGAATTATGGGTTTAGAACTGCTTACAATAACCTTGACACAAATTTATCATTTCTTCAGAAGGCCATTTATCTTGCAGCCCATTTTTCTTATTTGGAGCATTTTCCATCAAGAATGTATTTGTTACAGGTTACATCTCCTGAATATGTGCATGGTACCTAATATCTCTGCTGTGAGCATCACATCATTACCTTTCAATTGTCCTGCCTGCAGTTTCAGCACGAGATTCTAGACATTCACAGGAGGAATGCAACTAGATACTTACAACTTGTTTTGAAAAGTAGTTTAAGATTCTGTACTTAAACATCAATTTAAAAAATCTGAATTAAATTTGAAAGCCAAAGCAATGTTAGCACTGTAGCCAGCTTTATTTTAATAGTAATTGTCTTTAAAGTTCCTGAACCATTCTTAGATTAAATGTTCTCAGTTTTTAAGTAATGCCACTAAAAACAGTTAGAGGCCCACGGCACCCACCCAGGTGCTCATGTTCCAGAGGAGCATTTGATGCACGTGGGATTCTGCACGCGTAGGAAGCAACAGAGGGTGCCAGTTTGCATTACAGGAGATCCAATGCTTTCCTTGGTTCATGGTGTTACGTGAATTTGCCAGCTATCATGTCATCTTGCTGCCAGCAGCCACGCAGAATACGGAATAGGTATCTTAGTGAGGGATTATGCTTCTGAGAAGGAATTCTATATGCTGCAGTGATCATTTCGCACATTTTTTTATTGTTCTTTCTTCATTGCTGCACAACTGATGGTAGACTCCTACTCTGTTATTAGTGACTCAAGAGATTTAAGTGTTGACCTGATAAAGCTGGAGATAATTCGGTAGAGGCTGGATGAACAAGTAACTCAGGGTAGATTCTGTGGGGAAGAAGTTGATGAACAGTGTTTTGGAAGAGCTGTTACGTCTTGTGAGAAATTGCTCAAGGCTAAAAGATTGGCCCAAAGGATATTAAAGTCTCTATGGAGCATTTTAAATGCTTTCAGCAAAAGCATAGTGCTATAGGAATTGCATTAGTAATGCCAAGATCAGCATACCATTTTTTGGTGGGTATCAGCTCTCCGAGTGACTGAAGGTGATCTGAACCAAGTCTAAAATGAAAGTATGCCTGTAAGTTTTTTAAAAAGCATGTTGTTTATGTAAATTTGTTAAATGGCAGAAGCTTTGAGTATGAAGTGTTAGCAAAAAAATGTATTTTAGTGTTTGCATAAAGAAACAAATGCTGTGCACTGAAAAAAAAATGATACATATATTTTCTATTCTTTTGACACAAGTATTTTAAGTTTTGCAGTAACCTGTAGATATTACTGTGTCACCAGTAGATGGCAATATTGCTTATTCCATATAGTTTCCATATGTTTGGCAAGTCCTACCAAAAAGCTGATTCCATGCAGAGAAAACAAGTAATTTTTCATATGCCTTTTAAACCACAACATGTATATGTGTTTGACAGTAGTAACTGTATATTATTAAGTGCACAGTTTGTCTCAGGTTTTGTTTATGTACCTTCGACTCTGGAGAGGAATGTCTTGATTTTGAAGGACATGTCATCTAGGTTTTGACATAGTCCGCTGTGGATTCAGCTATGTTAGTGGGACAGTTTATCTCCTCCAGCTGCTCACCACCATCACTTTTCTGGAGGTTCCTGCCCTCGGAGAGCAGTTTGTATATGCATTCTTTAAATTGCATTAGGGAGAATCATCTGGTGTAAGCAAACCCTGCCAATTTTGCTTGAGGTAAATTATAGAGAAGTTACTTCAGCTACATGGGTGAGTAGAGCAGAGGCATTGTGGTAAGTGTCTGGAGGCAGTCAATCTTCCACAGGCAGGAGAGCAATCTTCTTACAGGAGAACATCTGTGCATAGTCTGAAGGTCTCACTCCACAGAGGGTTGTCACTTTGAACTTAGATTGGTTTTCTTCTAAAAAGAATGTTGTTTTTCAAGCACAGGTGCACAAACATATGCACTACCTTATCTTCTGAAGGAAACCTACAGCAAGTTAGGAATA